GTAAATCAGCCTTAAGTGATGCTACATCTGCGCCATCTTGAATATGTTAATATAGCTGGTAATTTTGAACATAATTATGATCTAATAATTATCACGTATTATTAGGGACTGCACAATATTTATTAGGAGGGGGTTGAGAATCCAGCGGGGGGCCGGAGGCAACATCTCTTTTTTTGTGCTTAAAGAGGGGAGCAACGTCTAAAATTAATTAGAACTTTTTTTTCTAAAATTAACTAGAACTTTTTTTTAATTAAAGTTGGAAACTGAAAAATCAACGGTGTCAGATTCGAAAACTTCTCAAGAGCGCGCCATGATTAGCGAAAACTCTTTATTCAGGAATAATAAATAAATAAATTGACGAGGGGAGGGGCTAAGGGTGCGGTAATTTATTTCGTTTGCGAGGAGGGGGGTAGTAATTCACTTTTTTGATTTTTTTGGCTCATCTCTCAACCCCCCTCCTGACAAATATTGCGCAATCCTTAAATGAACCATGAAAAAAACCTTTTGTAGTTGCAAGTTTGGCCAAGAAGATTGAGCTCCGTCGGAGTCAGGGCCCTGTCGAATATGTACAACTCGTCGATAGTCCCAAGTAATGGGTTTTTACCAACCCATTTGCCACTTYTATCCATTTCATAGTATTTTCCAATACTCACACGGCCGTTCCAGTCCTGCAGATCAAAAAACGTCGTTAATGCAATTGAATTTACTTAATAGTCTTCTTCACGGTTACCTGCGCCATCTTGAAAGGTAGCCGTGCCTTTACATCAAAGCGAGACAACCGTTGAGCATGCAATGATAGAAACCTGTGAATAATTGTCTGCAGGTGTGAAATAAGGTTTCTATCATTGCACACTTAACGGTCGTCTCACTTTGATGCAAAGGCACGGCTACCTTCCAAGATGGCGCAGGTAACCGTGAAGGAGACTATTCATAGGCGATAGAAATAATCCCTCTTACTGTTTGATTCCTTAAAAGTACCTAAAAGGTAGATTTATACTTTTTTTATTTATTTTATTTTATTTTAAAGAAGTAAGGGAGCCACATTTGCTTGTGAGATTGTCATCAATGTAGCTCAAAATCCCTTTCCCAGGAAAAAAATTCGTACTAAAACAGACCCCGTTGGCTCTCCATGGCCCTGGAGGTCATAGCTTCAAACGACTTGTAAAAGCGCCATTTTACCTGCGATARCGTTCCTTTTCCAGTCCATTCCTCTTTCTTTACCTCACCATTAACAAAGATCTGAGATTTTCCTCCCATTGTTCGAAACGTAGCAGCGATGTGCGTCCACGTCCCAGCTGGTACAACAGGGACCTGGGTCTTTATGCTGAATACCGTCTGAAGTAAAGAATATTTGTCGGTTATTCTACGAACTTGTCTCAATAGGAAATGATAGGCGATGAGGCAACAACGCTCAGTTTTACAGGTCCTAGAGCCATTTTAAAAGGTAGCCGACAATGAGTATCAAAGCGAGACAGTAGTTGAACCTGCAATGATAGATACCTTAATAGTCCCCCTCACGGTTCCCTGCGCCATCTTGAAAGGTAGCCGTGCTTTGCGTTGAGCGTGCAATGATAGAAACCTTCTTTCACACCTACASACAATTATTCACAGGTTTCTWTCATTGCACGCTCAACGGTTGTMTCGCTTSGATGTAATGGCGCGGGGAAACGCGGAGGAGACTGTTGTTCGCCCCCAAGTATAATCATTCACAAGTGCCTATCACTGCAACTCAACTGTTTCAGTTTCGCTTTGATGTATAGAGTCAACTACGTTTCAAGATGGCGCTGGGGACTGCAAAATGAAGTATTTAGAAATAATTGTTACCATGGTTTTCTCATTCTTATGGAACCATGTTACTGTCCCGTTGACAATTTCGAATAAGTATTGTAGWCCTTTATTCAATTCCTTTGAATCAGGGTTGGTGGTCATGAAGATCGTCTGTCTGTCACGATTGGTGTTGAGTTTTACCCATAATGCAAACGTTATACCAAACAATGGTTTACGTAAGATTCGATTTCCCATCAGCATTATGTCGCCTATATATGAAAACGAATGTATGTAAGAATTAACGCAAATCTATACTTGATGGATACTCTCAGTTAAAGAACAATTCTCGGGTTGCACGTTACGTCATCGCCGCCATGTTGGATGACAATAACAAAGCATTTCTCATTAGTTTCACTTGTTCATTCATCTAACATGGCGGCGATAGCTTTGTTTTTTATTTCCATATCAAAGAATTGATATCATTCGTGCAGGTTCCCTGTGCTTTTTAGTTTTGGGCTTCCTTTAGCGAATCCATGCCATATATGGAAACAAACAAAATGGCGGATTGTTTAGAAGTGTTTTCGCTATAATATCTGCAAGTTTCCGACGATTTCAAGCTTTAAAAGTCGAGAAAATCGACAAAAAATATTCCTATCGAACTTCCAAATAAGGTAAGATTACCATATATGGCTGCTAAACGAAGGATAACTTTTGTGGGGCAATTCTTTGATATGTCGAGGAATTTTTTTTTTTCATGTGGTTGCAACCCAAGAATTATCTTCACTGCATAATTGATGACGTAATGTGTTGCTGAGCGGCGTGATGCACTGTGGGATAGATCAAACTGAAGTCGGCCATTTTGTATATTTTCAGGTCGTTTTGCTAACAATATGCTGGGATATCACATAAGACAGGTATTTGAACATACTTTAGTGTGCGCATGGATCTTATTTAAAGTTTTCTAGCGAACACGATAAGATTATCAAAAAAATCTATCTTAGCTACATCTGCCGCCATCTTGAATCTATTATCAATACCATGATGCATTTCGMCAAAACAACCATGACGTCATTACTAGAAAGGACTTTACACCAATGTATATAGACCATTTTTAAACTAGTCAGAGCTATTTAGTTACTATGCAGACGAACCTCTATTAAGCGGTCACCTATAGGGAAAAGACCAGGTGACCGCTTAATAGAGGTTGGTCGTTTAATAGAGGTCGTGTTTACAGTAAATGTATGAGAATCGACTCAATGCGAATTCATGAGTGACCGCTAAATAGAAGTCCGACTGTAGTATAGTTTATACACTGCACAAGTGTARTTCGACAAACCTCCTTGTAGGCTCAGGCCATTTCCACATGTACCACTTGTCTTAGTAACGGTTGCTAGGTTAGTCAAGTGACCATTGTTCTCTTTGCCAGAATCGTCAAAGACCGTGTGACCCGAGACACGATCAAAACCAAAATAGATGACTTGAGAACTGACGGCTGAAAAGCAGAGTGGGAATATTTGCTTTTACGTTTGTAGTTTGAGAATTTCCGTACGCATTCACACGATCCGTAATCATATCTACGTTTTCTGATGAGCATGTTTTTTCAGTATGTTTTTCATGCGTTTCCGCAATATCATTTGCGTTGTTTTTGTGGGGGTTTTATTTGTTTTTAATTGATTAGTTTTTCTTTAACACTTGAAATATTCMCGTAAGCATCCCTACGTTACCGTAACTCTACTCACGTTGTTTGGCGTTTCCGTAGTTACAAGCTTGATGCAGCATTTTAACTTCATATGGTGACAGYTCTCTACTGTACATGTATATCTCATCTAGAATATCGTACGCCTGCATGTCACCTTTAGGGTGACTACCRAAACCAGCGTAGTTATCCCAGTCTTGAGACAAAAGTCCGCCACTACCAGGGGCTTCCTTGTTGAGGTTACCGTTGATGTAGACCTTGGCTTTTTTGGCTTGCGCGCTGTACGTGCCCACGATATGAAACCATTGAACTTAAAAATAATAATCTTTCCAGTTAATGTTTTTTAAGAATTTTGTAGCATGATGAAATCAAATTATGATATCGAAATCAATAGCAGGTTTTACAGAACTACTCATTAACTATCGCTTTAGTTTGGTAATTTGCTTTTTTGCAAGAGAACTAGGCTCGAACTGAAAGTTCACCCGAAGCCAGCCAGATTTTTAGAGTGAGACGCTCACTGATGGTATTTACGGGCAGTATATGTAATATCCTAAGTGTTTTTTTTTTTTGCGTTTCCCAATGCATAAAGAAGTACAAGGAGCCATTCAGAGGTGGAGAAACGAAGGCAGCGATATCTCAGTCATTTTGATACCTTGACTGAGTCCAGCCAAAGTGGGACAGAATCATTGACTCTGAACTCCACCACAGAGGAAAACACCACTGCCCAATCAAAACTAACCAATCTTCCTTACCTGCCGTGACCACAGGATCAGTTATAACTTCAAATATCTTTTGATCGAATTCGTCATGGTGACTCCATGTGACCACACCCTCTTCCATAATCAGTTTATATTGGTCATGAATATGCTGTGAGTGAGCGCCGATTGTGTCAAATAGGTAATGGATTCCTTTGATACTGGTTACATTGATCCATAAGGCTATAGTAATGGCATCKACGGGTTTGYTGCGCATTGTCTTGCCATCTAGTTTRAGGTCGTTTGTTGGGCCGTTGATTTGGACCCCTCCTCCACAGCTACCGCTGGTAACTACACGATAATTTTTTTATTAACACCTACATATTACATGCTTCTTGATAATATCGTAGACTGTATACTTACATGGTATTGGATCAGGTTCTTTGCCAGGGAGCACAGGAGGCCTGGAGAGAGTGACGTCATTACTAAGACCCGAATCGTCTACGAAGACATTGTCTTTTTTCTGGTCAAATCCAATATGCATGACGAGGCTTGCTTTCTCTCCCTGACATAAGTCAATGACYGACTGGATTTCGATAGGCAACATMGATCTATTATAAATATAAAACTCATCGATGTAACCTTGRAGATTTGGCTGACCTCCTTCCTCGCCRATTCCGACGTATTTACTCCAGTCACGTGACAGAAATACACCTGGATCRGCYTTTTCTTCCTTGTTGAGTTTACCGTCGATGTAAATCTGACTGAGTCCTCGTAAGCCATCATACGTCACAGCCACGTGACTCCATTTCCCAGGATTCAGCACGGGCGTGTCTGTGAATGTACTAAACACTGTTGTGCCGTTTTCATTGCGATGAAACCAAAATATGCGACCATTTTCTGACTGAAGGATATATTGGGCTGTAAAATGGTTAGATTGAAAGCTTTATTATAATTGAGTCAGAAACCAAGCCTTTGAGTGGTACTTCACGTTTTACATTTTTACTGTATTCAGTGCAAAGAGAAGTAGGGAAGTTTATTAACAACTGTTCAGTTGCTTTGGATTAAGGTGATTTAGTGGGGTTTACCATTAGTTAAATTCGGTTAGTATTCATGATTGAATGTTTCTTACGTTTAGTGTGATTGGATATTACTTACGTTTAATGTGATTGGATGTTACTTACGTTTGGTGTGATTGGATGTTACTTTCTTTCAATGTGATTGGATGTTACTTACGTTTAGTGTTATTGGAGTTTACTTACGTTTAGTGTGATTGGATGTTACTTACGTTTAATGTGATTGAATGTTACTTTCATTTAGTGTGATTGGATGTTACTTTCATTTTGTGTGATTGGATGTTTCTTATGTTAAGTGTGATTTGATGTTACTTACGTTTAGCGTGATTGGATGTTACTTTCATTTTGTGTGATTGGATGTTTCTTACGTTAAGTGTGATTTGATGTTACTTACGTTTAGCGTGATTGGATATCACTTACGTTTCATATGGTGTGATTGGATGTTACTTTCATTTTGTGTGATTGGATGTTTCTTACGTTAAGTGTGATTTGATGTTACTTACGTTTAGCGTGATTGGATATCACTTACGTTTCATATGATTGGACCGTGGAGGCTTTCCAATCGTTTCAAATAGAGTTAGTGACGACTCTGTTTTCATTAGCTTGACATACATTAGAATTGTAATGGCGACGTACGGGATGCCTACGAAATAGTGTAAKATCGAGTTACACAACACTAATGTCAGAATGGTGACTAAACAAATTAAATTTGTCTTATTTATATAAAGATTTATGCACAACGGAGATATGCTGGTGGTCCAAGAAAGAAAAGACAAAAAAGATGTATCAAAAATCAGTCTTCACTCGTATAGTATAAAACAAAATAACGTCCTAATTACTCCAGGTTATTGACAGAAAATCTCATTCTATACTTCCCTCAAAATCTCACACAGCCRTACGTGAAACGTTCACAGTGATTAGAGGGGAATTTWAACGGCTCGAATGTCGCRTGCAATGTCATTATTAAGGGATATRCTYCTCCCGATMAGCGGTCATGATCTACCGCCATTTTGAATTATAATAACGCAACCTTTTGTTACCTTGGAATGTAATTCCATTCAGCTCTACATTGCCACCCAGCAACTCTACACAGTTTCCACAGCTTCCTTCGGTTTTCCTTATAAGGGCACCGTTGATAAGAGTGGCGTTGTTATGGTGAGGGGCGTCGTCGAAAACACGGTTTSCATAGTAGCGATCGAAGGCAAGATTGATGACTTGATTATAATCAGCTAAAATGAATTATGGGTAATTTTTGTCAATAATTGTAATAATTCCATGATGCTTTAGTGTACTAACCTGTTAGCCCGGCCCAGGTCCCGCCTGCGTCGAGAAGCAACAGCAGTAGCCAARTAAGGCCAGGTTGCATCSTTGATGTCTGAAATTATTCAAGGAAAATATTGTTGAAAATGTGCTTTATCACCTTAAAGTGATGTAATGTATTCAACCTTATTGAAAAATCAAAGTGTTTTCGCCGCAAGTAGTATGGACTGAAGTGTGATTAACTATATTTATTAAGCGCCTTTAATTTTTCTTAAATAGGGAACGTCAACTAGAAAAATAACCACGAGGTTTTTTGGTTCGCAGAAAGTTTACATGGATTCCAATGTTATCGGCATTATATCATTTACATCAATAAAAGTCCTCGATTTCTGGATATCTATAAAGGTGGTTTGATACTTAAGTTTTGTAAAAACGCGATATACCGACATTATAGTTAGATAAACCTATTAGTCAATCCTGGCAACTACATTTTGTAACTTCAGTACCCTTTTGCTTCACGCTGAGCCGACTGAGCAGTCTTTGATTAATAAAAAAAGATGCTTAATCAGCTTATCGTCTTTTTTTCGGATTTTTATAGCAATTGATTGTAATGKTATAAGACAACGAYAGTTTTTTCTACGCTTACAAAKAAGCTTTGGATCGACTTTATGACAAAATCTTAACTTGCGCGTAAAACCACAAAACTCTTTAGTTAAAACTGAATCATTTTAATTCGAATTGAAAGGATTAATGTTTACTTATCTTAATTGTTTTAGGTTTGARTTTCTCGTTGCAAATTCAACCAGTAATTGATGAACATGGCAAACAAAGTGGCCACCATAATCTCGACACATTTCCGAAACTCAACAGGTCCTAATAAATACACTGATATTTCTACTAATAAAATGTATATTAGCCATTGTCTATCCGTCACTGAACTATCTGTTATTCTTTATTCAGATATACAGTGAATTTGGCGCAAGAACAAAGAGTTTTCGTCATTTCAAAGCTTGACTTCTCAGGCGATTTTGCCAAGTGAACTGACAAGTCTCTTGTCGCTTCGATAGTAACATTGACTTCAACGGGTAACGCTTTTTCCTTCTAAATATATCCCTACCTTATTATTTTTGCTATTCAATCCTTTACATTTATCTTTTCCGACGATTCCATATTTTTTTCTGTGTAAAATCAAGCGTCAAAAGCCATTTTGCGATTCCCCTTCGTCGCAGATTGTTAGGGGATGACGTCAGAGCTCAAAACTGTAGTTGACCAACTTGTAAACGACTGGTACAAGGCTTTTGAGTCAAGC